CCCCAAAACCCCAAAACCCCAAAACCCCTCGATGAAGAATTCGATAATAATTTGTTGATAACGGAAATAAATACAAAAATTTAACAATCAAATAATGGATTATTCTGCATAATACAACTACTAAGTAGATTAAAATCAAGAGTAGATTAATATAAAGAGACAATAGAAATTTGTTTCTTATACATAATGCTATGTTTGGGGATGTAAGTTTAATATCTTGATTGCAATAACTCTTTAGAAAATGAATTTGGAAGATTAGGGTTTGATATAAGTGAGGATTAAGAGAGTTTCACTACTTTTGAGAATCAAATTCCAGTGATTGTTACTCCTTAAAAATGCAGTTATAATATACTTATCAGATAAGTAGCTTGCGGAACTCTTCATACGCACTTGCTATCATAAGATGGATTTGTATATTCAATGGGCTCAAATCAAGATGGAAGATTAGGCTTATCACTTCCTTATTAAGAGCTTAAAAGTTAAACTTGCCCAAGATTGGTAGAAACATTGCATAATATAAGAAGTATTGCAGCTGGAGGGGCACATTCAATATGTATCGACCAAGATTATTAAACTTATGGATGGGGATCTGCTGAAAATGGAGCAATTGGTATGAGATTATCTAGCTCAAGTTCCCCAATAAAAGTTAGATTTGATTTGGCTAATTAAGGAAGAGGTGAAATTGATATTATTGATGCTCATTGTGGACTTAAGCATTCAGTATTTCTCTCTGCTAAAGGGGATGTTTACTCTTGTGGAAATTGTGAGAGAGGATAATTAGGTTTAGGAATAATGACACTTAAGGAATATAATCCTTCAAAAATGATATTTGAAATTAAATAGAATGACTCTGTAAGATCAATAAGCTGTGGTGATTATAATTCAGCATTTTTGACAGAGTAAGGTCTAATTTACATTACTGGAGATAATTCAATGGGCTAATTAGCATAAGGACATTTGAATTAGGATTTTTCAACAAGACCTATTCTGATTGAGACTTTGGTGAACAAAAAAATAAAGAAGCTATGCTTAGGAGGAAAATAATGCAGCACACTTTCATTTTAAGGAGATGTCTATGTTTGGGGATAATATAACAATGAAATTATTACCAAACCTTAAAAATTAGGTAGTAGTATTTAGCCTGCATTTAGAGAAATTAAGGCATCAAATAATTTATTAGCTGCGATAGATGCTGAAAATAACTTATGGCTATGGTCATCAAATCAAAATAATAATCCTCTAGAGTTAAACCAATATCCTGATAAAATATTGGAGTTGTATGATGTGAAGTCTAGCTAAATCTATCTTGGCAATAATGTTGTTTTTTGCTTAAGTGAAGATCTAAATTAAAATTTCGAAACTGAATAAGACTTTTAGTAACTAAGCGAGCAATAGTAATATCAAGCTAAAGATAATAATTAAAACAATTTTTACAAAGAAGATTTCTTGAAAAAATCTAGAAAGACAAAAAAGAAGCTGAAAAAATCTATAGGAAAGAAAAGCAAAAACCATGTCGAACTTGAGCCATAAAGTTTCTCAATTAGCAAGAAAATTACAGATTTTTAAAGGTAAAATTCTTCAAGGGGAAACAGTTAGTAGCCAAATAAAAAGATCTCTAAAAAACTAAAGCAAATACCTCTTAATTTATCTTAGATAAACAATAAGAGCCCTATATCTCTCAAGAAATCTAAATCTCCTCTATATTAGGATAAGCAAGAAAAATACTATACTAATCAAACTTTATCTAATAACTAGCCATTAGAAGCGAGATTAAAGCTTAAACTAAAAACAATAATGGGAAATTAATCCACTCAATAAACTCAAATGCATTAAAAATCCTTTTACTATAATCTAGCTGGATACCAGCCAAATCATTAGGAATAAAACTAATCTGATTAAACTTGTGATATTTCGAGAGCAAGCATTCTTGACCATTATTCAATGATCAAACCACTTTAAGAAAGATAATTGACTGATGATAATACTTGCTAATAAAATACATCATGCTCTCATGAACAAGATCTTATAACTTAAATAAATATCGAATCAGATAATGAAGATGATGATAATTAAATTATTAACTAACCATTGGAAAGTCTTCAACATCAAACTCTCAGACCAGCATTTATCGAGTCATAAGTTCAAATGAGCCCAGAGTGCAAGTAACAATAGAACTCTAATAGCAATAAATCTTCTTGCTTAAACATTCAAGACAAATCCATAGGATATATGAATCAAACTGAATCCTACTCAGCTAGATTTTCAGTTAATACCAGAGAGGATCCAGAAATCAGATTAAGATAAAAATATGAGATCTAATGCCTCTAAAATGAGAATCTAAGAATTTCAAGTGATTTAGCTCTTGAAAGGAAAAAGAATGAAACACTAAACTAACAGTATTATTCCTTAATTAAGGAAAGATAGGACAACTATATTCATAAAGATGAGTTCCTTAAAATAAAATCCTAGTATGATGAATTATAAAAACATTTTTAAGATTCAAAATTGCAACTAGCCTAAACTTTAGATACGAATTCTAAATTATCTGAGTAAATCTAACTCTTGAAGACTTAATTGATGAAGTTCAACGATTAAATATCAGAAAAAGAATAAGAATTAGGATAATTTGTACAGTTGGCTGATAAATTACAAGAATGTGAGGATTGTATTGATAAATTACAGAGAGACAAAGAAGCCCGTGAAGATGAATTATTGAATAAAATGAGCACCTTAGCTGATCATTATCACAAAGAAAAGGATAAAAATCAAAAATTGATGAGTGAGTTATCAAGATAGAATGAAGTGTTGCAGAGATTTGAACATCATGTTAAATAAGCACAAAATGAAAAAGATTATGCTGTTAGTGAAAATGAAAAAACTAAAAATGAGTTAGCTAGACTCAAAGTGGACCTGACAATAAATAAAGGAAAATATCAGTCTTTCGTTAGTAATATCAGATAAGCCTAAGAAGGAGAATAATCATTTAGAGATTACTAAAATGATAAAGAATAAACAAAATAGTAATAAGAAAAGAGTCCATTCAAATTATTGGAGCTCCCGAAAGAATTATAAAATAGATATAAGGAGCAACCTGATTAACTATAAAGCAGCTTTTACAGGGAAAATCATAAAAGCGAGAATCTAATATCAAGTGAAAGCTTGATTAACAATTTGTATTAGAGAAGAAATAGCCAAACAAAAAGTGCAGGAGTAAATGGGTATAGCAGTAGGTTCAATGAAAATAAAGAAATAGATTAAGAAATTAGGATCAGAGATACCCCTATTCAAAATGAGTAAATTCTCCAAGACTATAACAATCACGTTCTCAAAAGTTTAGAGAGGCAAGCTTAAAAATCTTCTCAAGAGAGAAAAATGAATTCATCATTCCATAGATAAGGACGATACAACACACAAAGTAATATATCCAATAATTAGGTAGACTACCAATCATTCATTAGAGACCATTCACCTCTTGATTCACATAGAGAAATGATTTCTGTCTTGCAAGACACTTAGTCAACAGTGTTTTTGTAGGAGGTCAAACGAGATCAAAGTAGAGATGCTTTTAGGGAAATAGGTAATATGAATAACACTATTACTATATCGCAAATTAAACCAAATATGGCTAGTGAGAGTGAAAATCTTTTCTAATCAGAGTAAAAGAAAATTTAACATAGCTAAATCTCTGAAACACTTTCAAAATATTGCCAATCTAAAGAGAACGAGAATTAAAAACCTTAAAACAGTTTTTCTTCAAACAAAAAAGCTTATCTAAAAAATTTAGTTGACTAGGAGTTGTGTGAGATTAAACAACTTATCAATCATCCTCCTAACATAATAAATGGTTCTAGACCCAATAGATACTTTAATACCAATAAAAATGAAAATGTGATAAAAGAAAACATAAAAGAGGAGGAAGGTAGTGAACATCAATTAACAAGGTCTAATAGTGATATGCTTGAGACTCATACTACTTAAAACCAAGTTTATCAGCCAAATCATGAGATGGATCTCGGAAATGATAGATAAAAATTGGAGAATAGTTTTATCAGAGACAATCTAATGAAGAGATTTAGCAGAGCATGAGAAGTTAATTAAAATATTACTCAATAACTTTTAGAATTCAAGAGACCACATCTTGCATAATGAGATAATTACCAATATCTATTAATTTAGTTTCCTATAAATCATAACTTACAGTTAACCCTTAATTTCTCTGTTTAATTATAATAATAAATTAAAGTTTCATAAGAGTTGAAAATGGGAGGAAAAAAGAAAAAGAAGGGAGGTAAGAAGAAGAAATCCACCAAGGAAAAGAAGCCAGAGGAGGAAAAGAAAACAATGTATGAGATACCTGAGTATATAGATCCTAAGATTTATACACCTCAAGTATAGCTTACAATAAAATTGGCAACTCCACCTAACGATCATCTAAGTAATTCATAATAAATTTGATGTAAAATTTAGCTTTCAAAATTACTGCCAGAACAACGACAAGAATAGAGGAGATTGAACGGCGAATCATAGAACAACATGATGGGTCAATCAAGAATGTAACTATTTGCTAGAGTGTGTATACGAAAGAGCAAATTTTAGACCCCAAAAAGCGTTTGCAAGATGTAGGAATAACGACTGCTGGCTCATACACACTAATTTATGATTTTGCCCCAGTTTCTTATCCCTTGTTAACTACTGCAGTTCCGGAGCAAGCAGGATTGCAGGGTGTTCGTTGAAGGATCATTTCAAGCAAATACTAAGTTTACTCTTAACATTCATGATTTAATATATCATTATTAGAAAAATTAAGTTATTAAGTGTTAAATATGCAAAGTTTATTAGGGCAATAAGATATTTACAAATATGAATTAACATTTACTATATATTCAATCTAAATTTAATGTTTTTAGGATTAACTATTTTCATTAGTCCTGTGCTTGTTGAGTGTTTTTATTCAAACACTTTGCAACGAATAGTCAATCATTACAATCTTGAGAACATTTTCATAAACTTATCATCAAAGTCATTATTTACTTCCTTTGCTTTTTACACAAATGGAGGAGAATCCTAGGTAAGTTTTATTGGTCTCTTTGTTGAAATTCGACTTTGAGGATTCTAGTTTTACTAATAAGCTTGTGAGAAATTTTAATTAATATAGCTATTACTATTATTTATTGATCCTTTGCCAGGAGAGAAACTGTCTATTATTGAGTTCTAATTATAGCCTCCCGATCTTAAGTCACTATTTCTGTTCTGATTCATTTATCCATTTAAGCTGAATTTATCAATCACAGGTGTCTTATGGATATTCTAATTTAAGGGAGGGAAGAAATTACTTCTTGTTTAATTATTCAACGTAGGTAAAACAGGCTAACTTTAATAATTATTCAATTACTATTATGGTGCTGTTTGCCTTGCTCCTATTCTAGAGAAAAGATCTTGATTATTTTAAGCAGAAAATTAAAATCTTTGAGATTGTTGACTACTTATCTAAGTGTTTATAGAATTATTGGTTATTTAAGGCACTGTTTAGAAATTAGAATGCATTGAGGGGACTCTGTTTAGTATTTGATTTTGATTAAAATTACTACCTAATGTCAACTACTGCTCAAAGATAGATTTATGCTACAGCAAGTTAAGATCCTTTCTGAGTCCTGAAGAACTATCCTTTTTATAAAACTTATCCGCAAAGCCATTAGATTCTTTCATTGGTTTCGAATATTATTCTTTATTTTATTAGGATATCTGTATTAATTATGATTACTATCTGGGTGGAAATATCTATTGAGGTTAATTATTAAATATTTAAGTTGCTTGATTCTTGAAAAAATCTCTAGTGTCATCCTATTTATTTCTTGGAACTAGTAAGGGCTTCGATGTTGCTTAAGGCCCAGCTTAATAGATTTTTGGTAAAGAATTATCAATTCATTTTTCTTAATCAATTTTTAACTTACGCATCTATTCTTCTTAATATTTCTGCATTATTTTTGATTAATAAATCTAACTATTTTGAATTTCACTTTTAGTGGTCTACTGCTATTATTAGAAATATTCATTTCGATCTGTATTTGATGGAAACTGATTTTGATATTGTAAGATCATAGGTTCAGGTTAATCAGATTTAAATTTAGTGATTACAAGCTTTTCTGATTATTAAGTTGGCCCTGATTTGTATTACTCAGTCTAATCTTCTCGAGGCAGAGATTTATTTTATTTTGGTGCCATTCTAGGCTTTAAGACCTCTTTCTGTTCTCAATAAGGTTGAGATTTTTATTGATTAAGTATCATTTATTTTTCATCTTAGCCTTGGTCATAATACATTTTATCTTCGTTGCTAGTAGATCCTTCTCTCTCTCTTTCATTACCCTCCTACATTGTCATGATCCTAATTCCATTTTCAGTAATTTTCATACTCTCAAATGTATTTTAATTTGTTCTAGGTTTTTTATGAAGAGCCTAGCTTATTTTAGATTTTTTATCTATGCCTAAATATTGATTGTGTATCTCTTCAAAGTATGGATCTAGCATTAATTCTTCAGCGCTTGGTCTATCGTTTGGATTATATGTTAACATTCTTTCTATAATTTCTACAGCTTCAGGTGAGGCTTCTGTAATAATTTCTTATAAATCTTTCTTCTTATAATTAGGCAAGTCCTGCATCTTATTAGATATTCTCTTGAATAATCTGCTAAAATCACTCCATTTTGAATCTTTGGGAGTTCCTAAAATTTTAATAAGAACCTTGAATTAATCTATTGCATCTTCTCCAGGAAATAATGGCTATAGAGTAAATAGTTCAGCCATTATACATCCAACAGCAAAGATATCAACTTTGTAATTATAGCTTCTTGATTTAAGTACACACTCAGGAGCTCTATACCATCGTGTAGATATATAATCTGTAAACGGAGGCATTGAGTTAGTTTCTCAGCATAATCCAAAATCTGAAATCTTGACTTGACTAGTACTCAAATTTAAATGATCTTCAATATCAGCTTAAACCAAAATATTTTCAGGTTTCAAATCTCGATGAAAAAATCCTCTCTTATGAATATAAGACAACCCTCTAAGAATGCTATATATAACATACTTGACCTCATCCTCAGTAAATCTATCAGAACTCTTTCTCTTTTTTTTTATTAATTCATGCAAATCACTTTAAAGAAGCTCAAAAATCAAATATAGTTCATTGGTATAGCTTGACCTTATTACTTCTTTGAGCTTCACTATGTTCAAATGCTATAATTAGATCAAGCACTTTACCTCATTCATTGACATTGCATCCTCCCAACTCTAGAACTGAGATTTCATTTTCTTTATTGCAACAAGGTCATTAGTTTTTTTCTCTCTTCCTCAATATACACTTCCAAATGTTCCATCTCCAATAAATTGTAATAACTCATACTTTTCCTCTACCATTGATTGATGTGAAAATTAATTTTCAATATTTACAAAATTACTAATCTAAATCATTTCCTTAATTTGCAAATTCGGGGTTTTGGGGTTTTGGGGTTTTGGGGTTTTGGGGTTTTGGGG